AAAAAAAAGAGATATACACTTTTTCAATTACATTAATTATTTATTGACGGGTCAAGTGCGACTCTCATTTAACCTATAAGATGTGAACGACCTTGACTCGGTGTCTATGTCACTAGCAGTGAAACTGGACTGCTTCGTTAATAAAATCTCAATTATTTATGTTACATTTAAATAAAAAAATTAATTATGTAATCATTATATGGTTTACCATGCCACGTAAACCATATCATTTTCGTGAAGCGACATAGAAGCACTGAGACGGCGGTGGGGACCAGAGTCCAGACGAAGCGCGTCAGGACAGTAACTGACAAAGACAAAGGGTTAGTTCAGACATTTCTTACATTTGACTTCTATCTCCGTTTGGGCAAACGATATTTCCATCCTTTCATCTCAATTTCTTCTCCCCCTTCCCCGTGCTTCTTCTTCGGTTCTTCTACGAGTTTGCGCGTAATCTCAATCTGGTACTCGTACTTAATCTCTAGCTCTCTTCTGTTTGTCATCTATGGATTCATGAAGAAGATCCCGCTGTAAGTCTCCCTCTCCAGTCTGATCTTCTCAATATCAATCCATGTCTATCTATACTTGTGTTGCGTATTCATATTTAGATTCTGTTTTGGTTTCGTTTCTATCTTTCAGATTCTTAGTTCGAACTTACTTCTATGTAATCTGTCATTCGGATTAGGGATTTCGGTATATTTTTAGTCAATGTTCCATGTAATTTCTTGGTCAACTGTAGAGATTGAGTGTAATGGTTAAGAATGGTGGAGAAATGTTTTGTTTCTTTAGGAAAAAGGTTTAATTGATCAATCAGCTGTTTGTAGTGATTGTTAGAGTTGGATTAGTGACCTTAAAGTTGAACCGAAGAAGAGGAATTGTTGTTCAAAAGTATGGGTTTTAGTTTATTTTTGGTAGGGTTTAGAGTATCAAATCAGCTGCTGATACTTGACTGTACCAATTCTTCTGCACTTGATTGAACTCTTGTTATTGGTTTGCAGGTTCTTGTAAAAGAAAATGTTTGACAGTGGTTATAAATCCCAGTACTTGAATGGCCAGAGGGAGAAGTTTGTCAGGTACTGAATAAACTATCAGTTAGGGCTTTAAATCCCAAGTACTGACATTTATTTATTTATTTTTTAATGTTTTCTTTCCTGCATATCTTTCTCTCCCCTTGCATCTCGTAAAGTTTGAGGCTTATTGTGGACTGCTGAGGAGAACTAACTTTTCATGAGGCTACAATTTGGAAGGACGTTATTGTATTTGTGTTGGCCTTTTTTTCCAGGTTGGATGGCTTGGACTCAAGATTATCGTCACCTTCTGATACTGGACTGAGGTGTGGATTTAATGTTGAGGGATTAAGTTGTGCAGGCCATGCAAACAAAAAAAAATCTACATCTTTTAAAAGAGGAATTAGAAAGGGATCTGAAGGACTTAAGTCAATTAGTCGTTCACTTGGATTTGGAGTTTCTCGGGCAGTATTTCCAGAAGATCTTAAAGCATCAGAGAAGAATATATTTGATCCTCAGGATAAACTCCTCCAGTTGTGCAATAAATTGTTTTTTATATCATGTATCCTGGCAGTATCCGTGGACCCTCTATTTTTCTATCTCCCAGTTATTAAGGATTCATCAGAGTGTCTTGGTATAGATCGAAAGTTAGCAATTGTAACAACAACATTGCGGACGATTATTGATGCATTCTATCTTGTCCGCATGGTTCTCCAGTTCCGTACAGCTTATATTGCTCCATCATCTCGGGTTTTTGGACGAGGTGAACTCGTGATAAATCCGGCAAAAATAGCCAGGCATTACTTGCTGAGATATTTCATGGTTGATTTTCTTGCTGTGTTTCCCTTGCCACAGGTACTAAAAGCAGTTTCCCCCAATTATTTTTAACGTGAAGGCTGCATACTTTCCCCTTGTTCTTATGTGTCTAGTTCTCAACATGATGTATCTTTCTCCCCTACATCCATGTTATGTTTTTCACTGATGATCTTTTATATCCTCGAACCTACCACCCAGTACCCCTCTCATTGTGTTTTTCTTTTCTTTTCTTTTCTTTTTTTCTTACATGCAGATTATTGTCTGGAGATTTCTTCGGAGCTCAAATGGGTCATATGTATTGGTTACAAAACAGGCTTTGTTCTTTGTTGTCTTGCTTCAGTACATCCCTAGATTTCTTCGAATCTCCCCATTAACGTCTGAAATGAAGAGAACAGCAGGTGTCTTTGCAGAAACAGCTTGGGCTGGTGCTGCATATTATTTGCTACTATACATGCTTGCTAGTCATGTAAGCACACATCTACTTTATATCCTGGTTTTATGAGTGGAATCTAGAGTAAGTGTTTGTTCTCCACTCTGTGCAAATTGATGGTGTCTGATCAAGCCTTAATGCTAATCTGAGTTTCCAGTTCATACAATGTGTCTAGAGATGCATTGTTGCTGTATTTCTTTACTAGTTTTTGATGATTCCTTGAGAAAATGAATCACTCTATATTAGTATATATAAGACAATTTGTGCACCAGAATATATGTAGTAACACTCTTAAGGATTCTTTTCTTTTATTACCTTCCTCGCCTATGTATAAGGTCAAACCCATTTGATTTCTAAAATGGCTTACTAATCCTTAGGGGAGTCCTTCACTAGTGGTTGTGAATGACTTATTTTTCTCTCAAAAGTCAAAAGCATAAAAGCTTCCAATGTCTTTCAAATATACTTTTTAATGCTGTTGTTTATAAGGTGGAAGAGCTTGCCATTATTTCCTGACCTTACTTTGCTGGATGGATTTTTCAGATAGTAGGGGCATTGTGGTACTTGTTTGCTCTAGAACGCAATGATACATGCTGGAGGCAGGTTTGTTCTGGTACTAAGGTTTGCAACACAGATTTCTTGTACTGTGGCAATGATGACATGCAAGGTTATGGTTCTTGGGCTAACATCAGTAGTACTGTTCTTCAATCAAACTGCACAGCTGACGGTGATAACCCACCATTTGATTTTGGAATTTACAAGAGTGCTCTGTCATCGGGTATCATTTCATCAAGGAAGTTTGTCTCTAAGTACTGTTACTGTTTATGGTGGGGTCTGCAGAATTTGAGGTGAACAAATGTTTTGCTTATCCATGCCAACTAGGATGTGTAAATGAAAATTAGAAATAGCATCTTTTTTAATTGTTAATATATGCTTCCAATGGTTTATGTCAGATTATAATTTGGTAGGTTATTGCATCTCAAGCTAAATGGTATAGAATTGAAACACAATACATGCAACTGAAATATTAATATGTTAACTTTTTGAACAATGAAATATATATTCACCTGTTCAGTGTTCTTTTTGAAATATTATATCTATTTAAAATGAATCAACCTATTCAGTGTGCAACACATTACTCTGATATCTTTTCATGTGAATTTAATCATTGTTTTCAACATGGTCAAGTAGTAACATTCTCTTCATACTTTTTGAGTTCCCTGCAGTACATTAGGACAGGGGCTTCAAACTAGCACCTTTCCTGGAGAGGTTATATTCTCCATAGCACTTGCTGTTGCTGGGCTTATTCTCTTTGCTCTCCTGATTGGTAACATGCAGGTAAACTTAGAATTAATTGATCCCTTTTCATAGGAAACCATCTTGTTAGTTGAAAGGTTTTTTCATTTTTCAAATTTTCACCTTCTTTTTTTCTTAATTAATTCAACTTGAATTTGATTTACTCTTGGCCTCTGTTGAGTGTGTGCTTAATTGAATATTTATTATCCTTACATTGCCATGTTGCCACATCATTGTAGTGTGAAGATTTTATTCATTTATTTATTTTGTTGTTGATCTAACATCTTGTGTTCTTTAAAGTCTAACAGAAGGGATTCAACCAAATGAAATGGTATTTCATGTTAGGAATGAAATGGTATTTCATGTTAGGAATGAAATTCCATTTTTTGGGATGCAAGTGAAGTGACTGCAAAACCAAGGATGTTACTGTGATTTTCCTTTTTAAAGTCAAGTTTTTAGAATTAGAATTTTTTTTTTTTTGGGTAAAGCATGCCTTACATGGGAAATGATCCTTTCAGTGCATACTTGATTTTAGGAAGCAAATGTTAAGTAAGACTGAAATAAACTAGAATTAGACTCGTGTGGCAGATTTTTATGGATTCATTTAAAGAATGTGGGGTTTGATAAGGTATCCTCATGCAATTTGTATCAACGATTTGTATGAATAAATCTTCAGCTCATTGTCATTAATCTTTGAAAAGAAAAAAGGGGTCAATAAACATAACCTAATTTGAGATTACGGAAGTGAATATTTTCAATAAATCTTCAGCTCATTGTCATTAATCTTTGAAAAGAAAAAAGGGGTCAATAAACATAACCTAATTTGAGATTATGGAAGTGAATATTTTCAATGACATAAATTGAACTTGGTACTATCTCTATGCTGTGGGCAATTGATGTCTAATGGCAATGCTACTGAAGTTTTGTTGTTTGAAATGTTAAACAGACATATCTGCAGTCTCTTACCATTCGACTTGAAGAAATGAGGGTAAAAAGGCGTGACTCAGAACAGTGGATGCATCACCGTATGCTTCCACCAGATCTTATTGAGCGAGTGAGACGTTATGACCAATATAAATGGTTGGAAACACGTGGTGTGGATGAAGAAAACTTGGTTCAGAGCCTACCAAAGGATCTGAGGAGAGATATAAAGCGGCATCTCTGTTTGGCTTTGGTTAGGAGGGTAAGATACAATGACATATCTTCAGTTTCTTCCCTCACGTTTTTTCATTTTAATGTGCTCTTTGTTTTCCACTTATTCATATTCTGATTACTTATGTCTTCTTCGTTAGCGGCTGTTATTGAGGGAGTTCTGGCTATTTTAGAGCAAGACTATTGTAGGGTGTAGTCTTTTATTAGATTATTTTCTTATCAATTTTTCAAATTATGAATTGTTCTGTTATGTGAAGCTCATGCAACATGATAAGAATTTATTAGCTATTGTTGCTGCATTTGTAGGTTCCTCTGTTTGAGAGTATGGACGACAGGTTGCTTGATGCCATTTGTGAGCGGCTGAAACCATGCCTGTTTACAGAAAAGACATACATAGTTCGTGAGGGAGATCCAGTTGACGAGATGCTTTTCATCATCCGTGGTCGTCTTGAGAGTGTAACAACAGATGGCGGGAGGAGTGGCTTTTTTAACACTGGTTGGCTAAAAGAAGGGGATTTCTGTGGAGAAGAGCTTTTAACCTGGGCGTTGGACCCAAAATCTGGAGCCAACCTGCCATCTTCTACTCGAACAGTAAGGGCCTGGACCGAGGTAGAAGGTTTTGCCTTGACCGCTGAGGAGTTAAAATTTGTGGCTAGTCAATTCAGGCGTCTTCACAGTAGACAGGTGCAACACACCTTCAGGTTTTACTCACAGCAGTGGAGGACTTGGGCAGCATGCTTCATCCAAGCTGCATGGCGCCGTTATTCCAAAAAGAAGAGTTTGGAGCTTAGTCGGAAGGAAGAAGAAGAAGAAGCAGAAGGCTCAGATGGAACCCATAACAATGCTGGAGGAGGTTCATATAGTATTCGTGCCACCTTCTTAGCTTCGAGGTTTGCAGCAAATGCTCTTCGCAAGGTTCATCGATATCGAATTGCTAATAGTGCTAGGGAGTTGGTGAAACTACAAAAGCCCCCAGAGCCTGATTTTACTGCTGAAGCAGATTGATTTTGTTGTATGAATTGTGATGATTACTAGCTTGTATGAAATGAAGGTTGTTGTTTCTTCAGCCACGATTGTAATGGTTTTCGTTTCAACCGTAACAAGTTTGGATGTAAATGTGATTTGCTTTTCTATCTTACTATCCTTACTGGATATTTTTCATAAATTTGCATCCTTTTTATTTTTTCTTCAATTTTTTGGATTTTCCTCA